AAATAACGATGAGTTTTAGTTAAAAAATTGTTTGAAAAGAGAAAGTAGAGGATTGGAATTTTGTGGCTGTGTACGCACCGTAATTCAGATATTGAAACAGCATCTAATTATGTATCCTCAAAAGATGAAACCACTTCAAGCCGAAATTCGTGATTTTTCCAAACTGAAAGATAAATATCAAGAAATGCCTTTGCGAAATGGCACGAACTGTTTCCCATACTCGCCGGTCTGTATAAAGATAATTCGATCTTATCAATGATGAGAAAAAGTTAGAATTGTTAATAATCATTATACAGTATAGATATAGACTAGATTGTGTTCGTTATCAGACAAAAAATTGTTATTCCCAAGTATGTATCAGCATCTTTTTAAATAAGATGTCCCTATACTTTTGTGTCATCATTTATATACTAAAGTTGGAAAATTGATTTGGAGAGGTGGAAAAAAAAAATACTCACTATTTGATAATTGGATTCAAAACCTACATCCAGGAAACGAGATGCCCAAGGTGATAAAATGATCTTCCAATTGATAACACCTAGAAATATATGATTGGCCTTTTCTTCAAAAAGTATTTTCTTAATGTTTTGTTCTCTCTAAATTTGTGAGAAAATAATTTAAATAAATTGAAATGATAAACAATAATGAAATAAGAAAAGACATAGTTTGTGAATATAACATCTATAAAAGCATAAAAACAGACCTCTTTATTTGTCAAAGAACTATTATAGTTGTTTGTTTGTATATTTTCATTTTCAGACCTAAGTCAAGTGTGAAGCAACAGCAGAAACAACTTGGTTCGTAGGGAAGCTTATCCTGTTAGATGAATTTGAAGGACTCAACGGAACATATCAAAAAATTACATCGAGTATTGTCGAATTTGCTACGGTAGGTAAGTCGCATTATAGATGTATGTAAAGATTGTTCCGTCCTAGTACAACTTTAAATGAGGAGTTATCAAACAGATAATCTATCACCAATCGTTTTTAGTATATTTTGATGATGCCTGTTCACAAAAAAGTTGCATTGTCAATTTTTGAAATTCTTGGAGGAATTAAAGTATGATAAAGAACTTCAAAAGTACGCTTTACTTTTTATGTAAAGTCGAATTATATGTCTGTCACTCTTTAAAGGAAAGTTTAAAAGTATACCTTTAATGCTAAATCCGCTTGCATGTTATAAATTAGCACTTCAAACTAGTTGTCGACGAGATTCAGTTATATCATTCTCTCGAAAAAGCCGTCACCAAATCATAAAAATATTTTCCGCCAGTTACGCAACAGTACAAAATTCACCTTCACCCGCTCGAACATATGGTGGACTCAAAGATCAAGATCGCGTCTTCACTAACCTTTATTCACGCCATGATTTTCGATTGAAAGGTGCCCTTCGGCGAGGGGATTGGTACAAAACTAAAGAGATACTGTTGAAAGGTCCTGAATGGATTTTGAAAGA